CTCCCCTCCCTCCCTCCCTTCTTCTCCCCTACCCCTACCCACCTCTTCCCCCTAACTGTCTCTTTCCCCCTCCACCCCCCCCCGAAACCAGATCGAGAGGTCACAAGCAGTGTACTTGCCGCCCAAGTACTTTGGGCCGAAGCTGCAGGAGCGGCTCAAGGAGGCGCTGCATGCCAAGGTTGAGGGGACCTGCACCGGGCGGTTCGGCTACGTCATCACGGTGACCGAGATCGTGTCTATGGGCAAGGGCCGGATTGAGGAGAACATCGGAGACGTGGTCTTTGACGTCCGCTACAAGGCCATTGTCTTCAAGCCGTTTACTGGCGAGGTCCTCGATGCAGAGGTTGTCTCGGTCTCGGAAATCGGTTTCTCCTGCACCGTCGGACCGCTCAACGTCTTTGTCCCGCACCAGCGCCTCGGCGACTTTTCCTTTGATGCCGACGCTGCTCCGCAGTGCTGGACCTCGCCCGACTCGCGGCATGTGATCAAGGTCGACTCAGAGGTCCGCATCAAGATCCAGGCCGTCAATGAGCACGCCAACGACATCTTTTGCATCGGCACCATCTCGGAGGACTTCCTTGGTGTCATCTAGCTGGTCGCCGCCTCGTTCCCCCACCCCCCCTATCCATCGCGCGCGCCGCTGCCTTTGCCTGCATCTGTGGCCGTGCCTGTGGCCACCAGCTCCTGCATCCACTAACCTACACCCTGCGCCCTCACCCGAGACCCCCAAACCAACCCAAGCCTAACCCCTTTCTCCGTCTGGGCCTCGTAAACTACAAATACATCACCTCCCCTCCCAATCCGTCCACCACCCACCACCCACCACCACCCACCACCCACCGCCCACCACCCACCACCCACCACCCACACGCACGCACACTCGTCCCACCTTCTGTACCCAACAACAGAGTACGCCTCCTTCACCCCCCATCCACTCCATCCCCCACCCCCATCCCCATCCCCTACCATCCCCACCCCCACCTCCCATCCATATTTCATCCCCTTTCCCCTCCCACCACCACCAGGCAGGTGGCCAAAGTTTTGGCGCGCAAATCGTCAAAGACCTTCCATACCCTCCCCCTCCCCCCCCTTCCCCCAACCATCCCCCAACGCATACTCACACACACACACACACACACACACACACACTATCTCCATATCTATGCAGTGGCAAGTACGTCCGGGATGGAGGTGGCCGGTGGCGAGCGCAGGGGCCGGCTGATGATTGCCCAGATGGTGCTGGAGAACTTCAAGTCGTACGGCGGAGAGCGGACGATCGGACCCTTTCACAAGCGGTTTTCCTCGGTGGTGGGCCCGAACGGGTCGGGCAAGTCCAACGTCATCGATGCCATGCAGTTTGTGATGGGCAAGCGTGCGAGCCGGATGCGGCTGAAGAAGGTCTCGGAGCTCATCCACAAGTCGGAGAACTACCCGGCGTGCGAGTACGCCAAGGTCTCGGTCTACTTTCAGGACATTGTCGACACCGGGCCGGGCGATGAGGACTACACCGTGGTGGACGGCTCACAGGTTGTCGTTACCCGAGTGGCGTATGCCACCAACGGCTCAAAGTACTTTCTCAACGACAAGTCGTCGTCATACTCGGAGGTCACTGCGCTCCTTCGCGAGCGCGGCATCGATCTCGACCACAACCGGTCCATGGTGCTGCAGGGCGAGATCGAGCAGATTGCCATGATGAAGCCCAAGGGCACCGGCGACAACGATTCGGGCCTCCTCGAGTTCCTCGAGGACATCATCGGCTCGAACACGTTTGTGGAGGACATCAACGCTGCCGGCAAGGCGACGGAGGAGCTCAACGAGGAGCGGACCTCGCACCTCCACCGCGTCAAAGTTGTCGAGAAGGAGCGCCTCGCTCTCGAGTCATCCAAGCTCGAGGCCGAGGCGTACATGGCCAAAGAGCTCGAGCTCTGCACCCATCGGTTCCATCTCTACCAGCTCAACCGGGCCCAGACCGCGGTTCAGGCCGAGGCGCTCCGCGAAAAGGCCACCGTGGTCGACGGCGAGTACGCCACGCTGCAAAAGGCGCTGAGCAGCACGACGACGGCACTTGCCGCTACCGAGGCCCAGTTCTCGCGCATCCAGACCGAGCACAAGGACGTCGAGTCTGCGCTTGACGCGGCCAAGCGCGAGTTTGAGGCCTACGAGCGCAAGGACGTCAAGTTCCGCGAGGACGTCAAGCACTGCAAGACCAAGATCAAGAAGAACGCCAAGGCCGGCGTCACTGCTGCTGCCAAGGTCGAGCAGTGCAAGGCAAACCTGGCCCGTGCCGAGACCGATGCCGCCGATGCTGCGGCCGCCCTCGAGACTCACACCGCGGCCGCCGCCAAGCACAGCGAGGCGCTCGAGGAGCTCAACGCTCAGCTCGCCTCGGTCACGGCCGAGTTCCAGGCCGAGATCGAAGAAGCGCAGAAGGCGGCCATGCCGCATGTCGAGGCCTCGGCCCAGCACAAGGCTGCTCTCGACCTCGCAGCCTCGCAGGCTGCGCTCATCAACGACCGTGTTGCCAAGGCTGCCGCCGCCCTCGCCAAGGCCACTGCTGAGCTCGAGAGCTACGCCTCGACCGCCGACGCCAAGGCCGAAAAGCTTGCTGCGCTCCAGGCCAAGCTTGCCGAGGCGTCTGCTGAGGCGACGCAGATTGCCAACGACCTCGCCCAGGCCGGAGCCATGGAGGCCGAGCTGGCGAAGGACGTCGCCGCCCTCCGCTCGACGCTCGAGGAGTCGCGGTCTTCGCTTCAGGCCGCCAACTCACGCTCGGCCGTGCTCGACGAGCTCCTTGCGCTCAAGGCCGCCGGCAAGCTTCCGGGCGTGCTCGGCCGGCTTGGGGACCTCGGCGTCATTGACGAGGCCTACGACGTCGCCGTCTCGACCGCCGCGCCGGCGCTCAACAACATTGTTGTTGACACGCCCGAAACCGGAGCCAAGGCCGTCGCCTACCTCCGCAAGCACAACCTCGGCCGCGCCACCTTTATCATCCTCTCCGAGCTCGGCTACCTGGCCAAGTACATGGCGTCAGCGGCGGCGTCGTTTCCGGCACCGCGCCTCTTTGACCTCATCACGCCGTCGAGTCCCGAGGTGGCGCCGGCTTTCTTCTACGCCACCAAGAACACCCTGGTTGCTGACTCGCTCGACGCCGCCACATCTGTCGCCTTTGCCGGCGATCGTCGCTTCCGGGTTGTCACCCTCGACGGCCAGCTCATTGACACCTCGGGTACCATGTCCGGCGGTGGCTCGCGTGCGTCTTCGGGCGCCATGCTCACCTCGGCGACGGCGTCGTCGGCGTCAGCCGCTGCCGCTGCTGCTGCTGCTGCTTCGGTCGTCTCCGCCGCCGACGTTGCCGCTGCCGAGGCCGAGCTCAAGACCAAGTCCTCACAGCTCGCCGCCCTCCGCGCCGAGATGGAGTCGCTCAAGCGTCGCTCGTACAAGGTCGCCACCAAGGTCTCCACCCTCGAGACCTCCATCTCCAAGCTCGAGATGGATCTCGCCGCGTCGACTGCTGCCGAGCCGGTCCTCAAGGCTCAAATCGAAGCCCACACCGCCGCCGCAGCGCTCACACCCGAAGAGAAGACCCAACTCGCAGCGCTGGAGGCGACCATGGCGACCGAGCAGGCCGCTCTCGACGAGACCAAGCTCGTCCTTGACGCTTTCGATGCCGAGATCAAGATCCTGCAGGAGAAAATTCTCGAGGCTGGTGGCATGGAGCTGCGTAAGGCGCAGTCGGCCCGTGACTCGGCCCAGCAGCAGGCAGACCTCGCCGCGTCGGCAGCGACCAAGGCCAAGGTCGCCATCAAGTCGGCAACCAAGGCACTGGCCAAGGCTGAGGCCGCCCTCGCCGGCCTCGAGACCGAGTCGGCTGACCTCGCCGCCTCGCTCGCCACCATGGAGGCTGAGTTTGCCACGCTCGAGACCGAGGCCGTCGCCGTCCTCGAGTCGTACAAGCAGACCCAGCTGTTGATGGAGGAGAAGGAGGAGGAGCTGGCAGGCCTCAAGAACGTCTACGACGACCAGAAAAAGACGTACAACGCATTGCAGGCTCAGGAAGTCGACATCACCGACCGCCGCGACGAACTCGCCCGTACCATCGCAGACTACGACCGCCGCATCGCCGACTGGTCCACAAAGATGGAGGCAGTCCAGGCCCAGTACGCCTCATCGCTCGGCCTCATCTCCTCGCCGACTCAACTCGCCGAGCTCCAGAACAAGACCGGCGCCGGCATGGACCTTGCGTCGGACGACGATGAGAGCGACAACGAGGCGGAAGCGAACAATGACGACGCCGGCGATGAGAGTGGCGACGACGCCTCTGGCGCCGCACCTGCCTCTGGCGTCCTCCGCGAGCTCTCAGCCAAGAAGCTGGCCAAGGTTGACAAGGCCGAGCTCGAGGCCGAAATTGGACTCCTTGAGGAAGCCATCAAGGAGATGTCACCCAACCTCCGCGCCATCCAGATGTACCGTGAGAAAGAAGAGGAGTACTTGACCAAGGTGACCGCGCTCGACGAGATCACCGAGAAGCGCGACGCCGCCCGCGACGTCTTCGACTCGCTTCGCAAGCAGCGGCTCGACAAGTTCATGGCTGGCTTCTCCACTATCACCCTCAAGCTCAAGGAGATGTACCAGATGATTACCATGGGCGGCGACGCCGAGCTCGAGCTAGTCGACTCGTTGGACCCGTTCTCCGAGGGCATCGTCTTCTCGGTCCGTCCGCCCAAGAAGAGCTGGAAGAACATCTCCAACCTCTCTGGCGGAGAGAAGACTCTCTCCTCGCTCGCCCTTGTCTTTGCCCTCCACCACTACAAGCCGACGCCACTGTACGTCATGGACGAGATCGACGCCGCCCTCGACTTCCGCAACGTCTCCATTGTCGCCAACTACATCAAGGACCGGACCAAGGACGCCCAGTTTATCGTCATCTCGCTCCGCAACAACATGTTTGAACTCGCCGACCGCCTCGTTGGCGTCTACAAGACCAACAACGTGACCAAGAGCGTGACTCTCAACCCGCGCGCCGTCGCGCTAGGCCTCGGCGAGCGCAAGTGAGAAACCCGCACTGCTGCGTTAAACCTGTAATCTGTCCCACACCCCTCCAACACCCAGCGTCACAGATATTTACCCAGCGGTGCTCACTGGCGTGCCTGCCCACACGGTCACTCACGCGCAAGCAAGGCGATTCCCGCGCAACACACCGCTTGGCATCGACATCGGTCGGCAGGTCGACCATCATAAGCCGCGTGCTCCGCTGCGGCGAGAGGAAGAGCGGCGCGGCGTAGGCGTTTGCGCGATGACGCGGCCGGTCCTTGCGCTGGAGGACAGTGATGACGGTGACCGGCATGGTCTTACGGAGCGAGTTCGGCGGCGCCTCGACAAGCTTGCCGCCGGCCCACGACGCACCCTCGAGCAGCAGCCCGTAGACATACGCACCATCGGTTGGCGACGTGTTGTACTGTTCGCGCTCGCGGTTCGTCACCTCGGCGTACAGTACCACGTTCTCGAGCTGCCACCCGGGGTGGTCGCCCACCACCTTGCGCTTGAGGGCATGGAGGAACTCGGCTGGACCAAAAAGGCCACCAAGCCACACCATCGGCGTCCGCTCCCGTTTGAGCCAAGCCGAGAGCTGGTCGCCGCGCGCCGCGAGGCCGGCCAGCCACGCCCCGAGATCCTTGGCACCCCACGACCAGTCTTGCCACGACGGCGGGACCAGGCCAAAGTTCATGGCGTGGACGAGCTCGAAAAAGTGCGCCACCACGCCCGACCACTCGGCCGCCAGTGCCGCACTGCGCTCCACGTCGATGTCATCCTCCAGTCCAGTTGCCTGCGGAATTCGCGCGACAGAGCTGACCATCACCGCCAGCGGCCGCACCCCGCCACCGCGCCGGCCGCTCCCATCACCACTGCGCGAGCCGCGCGACGGGCTCGCAAACGCGCCCAGCGTATCGTGCCGCCGCGCAACCTCCCACGCCGTGCACCCCACGTCTGGATGCTGCATCCACCGGTGCGCCTGGTACAGGCCGAGCACTCCGCACGAGAGCCCATACCGCACAAGTACCATCGCCTCCTGCACCTTGAAAACCACACGCTCCAGCTCGCTCACCTCAAAGGCGAGCACCTCGCGGAACGGCGATGAGCTCGGCATGCTCCGCAGTCGGTCGCGGAGCTGCCCGTGGACCAGCGCGAGCGGAATGCTTTCCTGCATCGTTTTCAGCACCTTGAGCAGCTCTTTGGATGAGTACGGGAGCAGAGCCCTCAGTGGCAGCGGGTTCCGTGCCCACCACGCCGCCATACCTGCGGCCTTTGTCGCCAGCGCGACAGACATCGACGGCGAGACCGCCGCGCCCCATGCCCGCTCTCGCGGACGGGCCGGCACTGTCACGCCCGGTGCCCGCGCGCCGAGCGACTCGCAAAACGCCTCACCCAGTCGCGGGTTGAACGCGTACAGCTGCTGCATCTCCAGCAGCATCTGCCGCGTCCGCTCGTTGATTTTTGCCGAGACAACAGCTGGCGAGAGCCCGTACAGCGACGGCGGCTCGTGCTCGGGCCACGACAGCACCTCGGCGTAGAGGGCATCCATGACCAACCGCCCCGACGAGCCTGTTCCACTACCGCTCGGCGGCAGGACAGGCAGCTTGTACATCGGCCGCCGGTCGTCACCCACCAGCCGCGCCGTCTCATAGACGTCAAACGAGAATGCTTTGTCGAACATGTGCTTGGTAAAGATGTTGTCGACGACAACGCTGACCACCCGGCGGTCCGCGTCTGACGTCAGGGCCGAGCCGATGGTCTCGGCCACCACAAACCGGATGAGTGACCACGGAAGCTTGATGACCTTCTCCAGCCCTCGTGTGCGCTTGCTGGTCTTGCTGCCACTGTCGCGCGAGCTCCGCCGCGACGACGCGTCCGCGCCGTCACCGCTCCCGACTGACGGGCCCTCGCTTGCGTTCTCGGCATCGTCGACCGACGGGTCAGCCTCGGACACTACCACACCGGCCGCGTTCGCAGCCTCGGACACAATCGTCTCCAGCTGGTCGAGCGCCGCCCGGAGGTGGAGCCACGAGAGCATGACTCGCTCCGAGGCAAAGCCGACCTTGCCAAACTTGATCCGCCCCTGGATGAGCGCAAAGGCAAAGACGAGCGCAAAGACGAGCTGTGGCCAGGTCGCAATGCGAACCCGGAGCAAGTCGGTCTCGGCTACCCACTCGAGCCATGCCAGCATCTCGGCACGGAGCCCCGCTGGCGCCTCCAACCGCAGCTTCACCCCCGACGCCAGGAGACCCGGCTCGACCTCGCTAATGTCCTGCAGCGGCACAATAAGCCGGAACATCGCCGACACCGTGTGCCGCCGCGACGGCACGCCTGGCTGCAGATGCCGCCCGGTTCGCGCCAGCGACGCGTACTCGCCGAGCCCCAGGAGCCGGCGCGCCTGTGCTGCCCGGGAGCTCTTGGTTCGACTCTGTGTCGATACCGAGCCGGTGGCCTCGCCGCCGTCCCCCCGACTGGCGCTCGCCCGAGCATCCGAGCCATGGCGCTCACTGGCGGCGTTCCGGCGGTTTCGCCGCTCCACCCCCGACGACGGCCGGACCTGCCCGCCGTCACTCCGGCGCCTCGGCATGCCGCGACCCGAGCCCGAGAGCAGCAGCGAGCCGCGCCACCTCGACTCAATGTCCTCGCGGAACGTGGTGTGCACATGCGCACCAGCGCCAAGAAGTGGTGAGCCAGTGACAAGCACGCCAGACGACATGAGCTGCTCCTTGCTCACCAGTTCGACAAGAGCCTCCACCAGCTGCGGCGCCTCGCTCGCGTTCTGCAGCACCAGCCACCAGCCCTCGTACATGCACTTGCGCGCAATGGCGAGGAGTCGGAACGGCGATTCGATGTCGCTTGGCATGACAGACGTGACGTACATGTCAACCATGCCCGGCACCGCCTCGGCCCACCGCTGGAGGAGCGGCAGCGCATCGGCACCGGCATACGCCTCGTGGACAAAGACCGGCGCAGATGGGTCTGAGACCAGCATCATCTTGGCGAGTGAGAGCGGAAAGTAGGCCGTGACCCGGAATCCCGCACCAAGCACGTTCTCTACGTATCGGTTCACCGTCGCTGGCCACCGGTCGGGCCGCAGTGCGAGAGTGACCAGCGCGTGCAGAAAGGCCGAGACCGCGTACTCGCCGCTCTCGCGCCGCAAGTCAACAAACGGCCGCGCCTCTGGATCCTCAGACTCGAACCACTCTTGCCATGCGTTGACGTTGAGTGCAATCGTCTGATTGAGGGTCGCCAGAGGCGCAAACATAGCACACAGCGCCTCGATCCGGGCCCAAGCCTCGTCCGTAATCCACGCGTGCGGCTTGGTAACGTGCCGATACACCGTGCCGAACACATGGAGTGCACCGTCGCCGCCGGCAGTTTTGCGCGATCCACTTGGGCGAGTCGAAGCTACGCTCTCGTCATCACCAGGTCCGCCGCCGCCTTCGCTGCCGCTTGCGGCGTCGTCGTCGTCGCCGGCTCCAGAGACAAGCGATGTCGTCGAGCCGCCGCCTCGCTGCATTCCGGCCCCCAGCCGCTCACCTTTGTTGGCCGGCGTCGACGGACGCGACCGCCGCGACGAGCTCGGCCTTCCGCCGGACTCACCTCCACTCCCGCTCCCACCACCTCCACCTGACGCGTGCGACGGCCCGGCTGTCGGCACTGCACCGTGCGCAAAGTCACTGAGCGAGCCGAGATGGCCCGCTCCGGTCTCGAACAGCATCTGGATGGCAGCTGCGCTCACGCCGCCACACTCAAAATCGGTGTTGACCGCTAGCAGAAAGGCAAAGTGCAGCCGCTGCTGCTCGTTGAGCGCATGTGCGACAAACCCGTATACGGCCTCGGTCAGCGCGTCAGCAATGTGGATCACTCGCTTCTCCGGCTGGACCGCTCGCACCGCGGCCCGGATCGCAAACTCAAACAGCCGCACGTACATTGGCAGCGCAATGGCCGCCATCGGGTACAGTGGCGCAACCTGCTCGTGGAGGAACCCGTTGAGCGCTGCAGCTCGGAGCGCCACAGGCAAGTACACCTCGCGTGCATCCATCATCCGAGCAACCTGCCGCGCCACGTCGAGCACGCTCTCGTCAAGCTTCTCCAAGTGCGCCTTGACCTTGCCCAGCTCGTCAATCTGCTTGCCCGAAACGAGCATGCCCTCCATGCTGCGGCCCGAGGCCTCAACCAGTAGCATTGACCCATCGTCAGACCGTTGCGACTCGCCATCGTCACCGGCCTGGGCACCCTGGACACCCAGCGCATGGCTTTCGCCCGCGCCGGCGTGACCCGAACTTGCTGATGAGTGCCAAGACGAGTCTTCGCCCGACGACTCGCTCCGTGAGCCGACCGAGGAGCAGCTCCGGTCAATGCTAGCGTCTTCTCCTGTGGCGCGAGCCTTGCGCTCGGCACGCCGCTTGCGCCGCATCTGCCGCTTGCGCCGCCGCCGCTTGCGGCGCGCAGACGCTGTCGCTGCAAGAAGCTGCGAGAGCTGCCGCCGCGCTGCCGCCCGCTCGCGCAAGACCGTGACCAGCTCGTTGAGAAGGATCGGCCGCTCTGCCTCGACATCGGGCCGCTCGCGTTGGACTACCCGCGAGAGCAGCGCCTCGGTCATTGCCGCCGCAGTGAGCGTAAAGTCAATGACCATGGTTGCCGCCAGTAGCGCCGACGCAGCCGAGCCAAAGAACGCACCTGGCAGCGATGCTCCGTCCGGACCTTTGCTCGAGCGCTTACACGGCGTGTCGACGTCAAAGACCGACGGCTGGCTCACCAGGTACAGCCGGAACATCGGCGAGTACTCGACCTCTCTGCCACCGATCAGCACCCGCAGCTGCTTGCCCACGCCAACAACGTTGCCGTGGAGGAGCGGCTTAAGCAGGGCGTAGCTCGCGCCGGACACGTCCTCAACCACGAGCGGCAAGCCCTCGACCACGCACATCCGAAGCGTTTCGACAAAGTCGGACCGCATGGGCGAGGTCACGACCAGGCCCGCACCGCGCTCAAGGTGCCTAATCCACGTCAGGCCGACGCCATCTGGGTCTAGCAGCAGCGGCCACTGAGTCAAGCCGTCCATGTACCGCCCCGGCGCCGCTCGCGAGCCGCGCATGAGGTACACGTTGAGCAACGAGATCTCGTCGCACGGCAGCCCGATGGCTGCCCACTCGGCGAGTGCGTCCTGGTAGCCAGGCTCCTCAGCCATGAGCGCCGAGAGCGCCACCGCCGACCCCGAGAACGAGGTCAGCCCAACCGACGCGGCGTCGCTCGACGCCGCAGCATCGCACAGCGCTGTCAGCGAAAACACGACCGGCCGCGGTGAGTTCTCGCAGATAACCTTGTCCAGAAGCGCGGCCTGCTCGGCAAGCGCCTCAGCATCCTCGGCGTTGAGCGCAGATGGGGACGAGGTGTCTAGCCCGGCGACGCTGGCCATTCCGACAGGAGAGGCCGTTCGTCGACCCGAGCCTGACGAGCCTTCACGGGTGTGACCGGTCCTGCCTGAGCCCTTGGACTTGGCGCTTGTCCGCATCGACGAGAGACGCATCGACGAGACCTGGCCGGCCCGCCGTCCAAACGGATTGTCGCCAGCGGACGCCACCGTGGCACGGACCTGAGAAACGGCCGTCGTTGCGCCGGCAAGCCGGTTGGTAATGCACACTCCGCGGACGTCCTTCATGAAGACCAGCCGCAGCGCGGCCGGCATCGAACCAGCGTATACCACAAACGCTGCGCGCTGCACCGACTGGCCGAGCGCGACCTCGATGCGAGCCTGAGTCATGTCTTCCGCGTTGGCCAGCGTCGCCCGCTCGGAGTCGAGCGACGCCACCAGCCGGTTGACCGACTCGAGACGGGTGGTCAGCTTCCCCAGCTGGTTCACCCGCTTCTGCTTGTCAAGCAACTTGGCATCGTACTCGGCCTGCAGCTTCGCCCGAGCTGCGAGCGCCTTCTCCAGCTCTGCCTCGCGCTCGGCCACCTGGCCCTCAAGCATGCTCACCAGCGCGTCGTTGTAAACTATTTGTAGGAGGACAGGCCGGAGGAAAACCGACGCCGCGTGATACTCGAGTACTGCCAAGAAGAGGTGTCGCAGGTCGACATACGCAGGTGCAAGCTCGGCCAGCAACGCGTCGGTGAGGAGCGGATGCTCAACTAGCGGCGCCACAAGATCAACCACCTCGTCCGAGAGCGCATAGAGCTTGGACCCAAGCACCTCGTCGAGGATTTCCAGCGCACGCTCAAACTTCTCCGGCGTGCCGAGCTGGCGGCGGATCTCATTCCACTTGGACGGCGAGACAGGGAGTCGGAGGACAGCGGCGGCACCACCGGCTGGCAGCGTCCCGGCCACTGCCACCGCCGGTGATGTTCCGAGCCGCACAAAGAGGTCTGAGCCGGTGGCAGCCTCCGAAGCGTGGACAAGCATGGCGGTGGCCAACTCGTCGTCGTGCGCCTCGTCCGGCCGATGTCGGACCTTGAGCCCAGCCACGAACATGACCGCGTCGAGGAGGAGCGCCAGCGCAATCGACGGCGGCTCGCTGGAGCGATCAACAACTTCCGAGATGATTGCGGCATCGTCGAGTGACTTGAGCGCTGCCTCGACCGGAGCCTTGTACGGCTTGACAACGCGAGCCTCATCGATAACGGTGTCTGACAACAAGGACGACGCCTGCGAGACCTGCTCGATCCGCAGCCGCATTCGTGCGAGTGCCACCTTGGTCTGCTCCAGCGCCATGGTGGCATCGGTAATGGCGTCGAGGAGAGAAGAGAGCGAGTCGTTGGCCGACGCAACGGCAGCCTCTTGCTCGACAACCAGCGACTCGAGGACACCGATAGAGGCGTGTGCCTCTTCCAGGTGCTTCCGCGCCTGCTGCATGCGCAGCTGGTCAGCCTGCAGGCCGGCGACTGTGTTGGCGTACATCGACTTGAACGTCTCAACAAAGGCGAAACAGTGTGCAGTATTGGCACCGAGGCCACGGAGCCGAAGCGGGAGCCGGACCTTGAGCGCCACACCGTGGACAGCCACAAGCGTCTGCAGCAGGCGCTCCTTCATCGGCCCGCCACACTGGAGTTCGGCACGGTTGATGCGAGCCCGAATCGCCGCCAGCATCGACTGCCGGTTCCACGGCCGAAGATAGAGAGTGTGTGCGACCTTGACCACACCGCTGTAGTCTTGTACAAGCGGGCTGAGGCTCTCGGGCGTGGTGTTGATCACAACATGGAGAAGTTGCTGGACTCGCGAGATGAAGAACGAATACAGCATCCGCGAGCTCACCTGCTCGTACATCATGTTGAGCTCCTCTTCGGTGAGCGCTTCGTACGCCTGTAGCGCGAGCGAAATCAGATCGGACGCACCAGACTCGGACGCACCCCGACTGGCCTTTCCCGACGTCGGCGAGCGGCGGCTTCCACCACCATGGCCACCTCCACCTCCAGCAGCAGTGCCATCGCCAGCAGCAACAGTCATGCCGACGGGGGTGAATGGGACCGGGCTGTCAGTCTGCGAGAGCAGCTCAGCCGGCCACGACCGACAGAGGTCAAGAAACGGCGTTGCGACGAGGCTCTCCATGAGCTTGGAGAGCGCAAGGATAGCGTCACGGCGCGACTCATCCAGATCCACCACCGCCGACTTGGTCTGCTGTTGAGGTGTTGCCGTCGATGCTACCGTGCTTGGCCGCTTGGACGCTTCTGGCTCTTCGCCGGCGTAGCCACGGCCGAACGAGCTCTCGCGACCAGGAGCTTCGGGCTCGGCCTGGGGCACCTCGCCGGGAACATTGTCAAACGCCGCCCGCATGGTCTCGGCCTCCTCGACAGTGATCGGGACTGCGGTCAGCTCACCGTGGAGGAGGCGAGCAAGAAGAATGTTGAGGGCGTAGACACCCGAAGCGTGTGGGACTGACGACGCCGCCACACCGAGCGTCCGCGCCGCGGCCGCGCAGAACATGGTCTTGATGTACACCGGCTTGAGGTCACGATAGATGGCGACGAGCTCAGATGGCGAGAACAGACCAGCCAGCTCACCCGAGGTGAAGAACAGGTCGAGGACGTCCAGCAGCGGAGAACGGCGGCTGCTCTCCTCGCTGGCATCCAGATGCAGCGCTGTCGGCTTGCCCTCTGCGCCAGCAAAGAGGAATGCCTGCTTGAGGTGGGCGAGACACTCGGGCGAAAGGTTGTACATCGCGCCAAATGTCAACGATGACTCGTGGCTGCCGCGAAGGCCCACGGCGGGAAGTGGCGAGCCGCCAGTGAGACCGCTGCCATCGTGGCGGTCAGAAACTGGATGCTTGGCCGAGGCTGCGTCGGCGAGCGGGACCGTGCGGAGCGGGACGCCCGGGACCGGGATGGAGCAGTGCTCAGAGAAGGTCGGCAGGTCGCCGCCCACTGCCGAGGCGGCATATGCGCCACTGGCGCGCGCCGGGCCCCATCGGGCTTCCGGCGCGGCGGCGGCAGCCAGGTCGAGCGAGATTACGCCTGAGACGTGGGCGGCAAGCTTGCCGAGCGAGTGCATACCGAGCGGCGACGGGCTGACAAGCACCAAGTGGCCGCGCGGAAGGGTGAGCACGCGCGCAATGCGGAAGACGTGATGGACAGCACCGTGAACCACTGCCATCGAGCACGGCTGTAGCGGGTGCTGGGTGTTGTACACCTGGACCATGTCGACAATGACCTCCTGAAGCCAAGAGAGCGATGAGACAGGCTGGTAGCTTGCAGCGGGAGAGATGGGAGCCGTCGAGCCGGGAGGACCCTCCCACTTGCCATCGACAAAGCTTCCCCGTGCACCACCGAACACGCCCGAGGCCCCAGACATGAGGTCATCACCAGCAGAGGCCGGGCCGCTACCGTCGATTGAGTCAGTGATGTGGCCTCCGCCTCGACCAGTGTAGTGGACGGTGTCGGAGAGCGTGTGGTTCGAGATCTTGGGGCCAGACCGGGCCACGGGTTCTGGCACGTACTCGGCTCTGGAGAGTGCTGAGGGGAGGCCAGCGACACGAACCGAGGTGTTGATGTGGGCAAGAACTCGTGAGTCTACGAACACGGTGTTGCCGCCAAAGACGGAGCTCGAGGCACCGCCAAAGGCCGACTCGACTAGGATGCGCAGGGTCTTGGTCAGCCACTCGACGTCTGCATCGGCAACGAGCCGATCTGCAAACACCCGCATGCACTCGTGACGCCAGAGGTTGAGCATGGTCTGCTGGTCGATAAAGACTGAGCGGTCGGCACGAAGCATGCCCTGGAAAACCCGTGAGAGATCGCGCATGGAGAAGAGGTAGTGCGGCGTCTCGATCGTGGCCTTAAAGTTGGCCTTGACCTCGGACCAGAGTTGATAGGTGATCATCCACGTTTTTTCCATCAGGTTGAGAATGTGGAGGTTCATGTGCGAGTCGCCGTCGTCAGTGGGACCAACAGCGCGGAAGACCTCACGGACCAGGGTCGAGTAAACATCGTTGAGCGTCGACTCGTTCGAGTCATCGAGATGGATGACGGCAAACTTGCCGACGAGTCGCTGTGAGAGCGCCGAGACCCGACGGGCATTGGTGTGGATGACGGCCTCGAGCTGCTCCTGAAGCAGGGCCTGCTGGGTGCGGACGAGGCCGATACCTGTGGCACGGCCCATAGTGAGCGCAGCGCCGCCGGTGCCCGGACCAGAGAGCTCCACGTGCTCGTCGCCAAACTCGCCGGCGTTGAGCGAGTCATCTGAGCCGGCCCGAATGTGCCCGCCGCCACCGCCACCACCACCACCGCCACCGCCGCCGCCACGCATGGGCGAACTTGCCAGCCCGGGAGGCCGTCCGCCTGCGGCCATGGACGTCCGCGACCGCCGCGAACGGAAGAGCGTGTCAGCAGCGGGGGCAGGATAGGCAAGCGGGCCTGAGGCCGGCATGCGGCCGGCGGCGAGGTACTGCAAGCCTGATACGGCCTTGAGCTCGGACGACTTGGACGAGGAGAGGAAGGTCGAGGTCTCGACAAGGGTGCGGAGCCACTCCAGCGGTGGGCGGACACCGTGGGCATTTGGCCGAGGCCGTGCGAGGTCGTCGACAAAGACAGTGAGAGTCTTGGCTGCGCGCGGCGCAAACCGATTTCCGATTGACCGCACCAACCGGCCTTCAAGCTGAGCCTGCAGCTGAGCGGTGGTGGTGAACGGGCCAAGGGCGAGTGAGGCATAGGCATGGTAGTCCGAATCCCCGAGCGAGCCGAGGTAGTGCTTGACCAGCGACGACTTGCCCGAGCCGGCGTTACCGACAACCAGAACCGGGAGCTCGTGCTGTGAGCTGCGGAGCAAGTCGATGAGCGAAGACATGGCAACCGTGATTGGCGTTGGCACATGGAGTGCCATGATGTCGACGTCCCAAGCGTGCGGGAGCGCTGGCGAGACAGCGACCAAACCTTCGAGCGCCTCGTCGCCGCCAGACCGCAGCTGCTCGCCGGCCGATGCGGCGGGTGGTGCGTGACTATGACGCGAGCGCTCGTCGTCGGTCTCGCGACTGCCGTCGGCTCCTGAGCTAGATCCACTCGCCCCGGACGCGCCCGGGCCACCAGCGACGGCCTTTGCGGCCGATGCAGTCGACGCAAATAGCGTCGACGAGAGCGGAGCGATGCTTGTCATGGCATCAGGACCGGTCAACGCCGACCGCAGCCGCGACTGAAGCGACTGGCGCATGCCCTGCTGTGTGCCAAGACGGAACGAAGTGATGCGTTCGCCGGCTCCCACCGAGCCGGCACCAGGCGAGACCGAGTGGAGCGTGCCTGGACCGAGCATGCCACCGTCGCCTACGAGAGGCTCGGACGCTCCGACCGGCGCCGGAGCGGCGGCGCGAACGCGGGCGCGTGAGATGGCTGATGAGAAGAGCGAGGAGAGCGTCCTCGACGAGCCCGGATCCGGAATGGCGACGTTGGACGAGGGATATGCCCAGTGTGGGACGCGGTGGACCCAGAGCTCCCAATGAGTCGATGCCTCTTGGACATAAAAGTCAAAGATGGTCTCTGAACCCTCGAACCGCGGCAGGTTGACGGTCGCAGAGGAGAGGAAGGTCTGCAGCCTGAGGCGGTCGGTGTGGGGCAGGGCACCGGCGATGCCCCAGGCAAGAGCAAAGATGAAGAGCCGCTCGAGGTGGTCTTCCTCAAAGACTTCGTTGTTGAGCGCGCCTTGCTCGAGGAGGGCGTCGAGGAGCGAGAGCATGGTCCGGACCCGGGCGCTCTCCGGTTGGAGGACGACGGTAGTCGGGGTGTGGCGGAGAAATTCGAGGACAGGGGAGAGGAGAGAGGCAAAAAACGGCGCGAGGAGAGCGGCCTCGGCGGGCCGGCGCGAAGAGAGCCAGCCTTCGACGAGCATGTCGGGCGAGACGAGGTCTTGCGGGAAGAAGACTACACCGACTCGCCCGATAAGCTGTGGCGAGGCATGTTCGAGCGAGGTCGTTTCCAGGAGAATGTGCATGTTCGGTGGGAGTGCGAGGTACATGTTCGAGGTGAGAACGAGCTTGCGAGAAGGATCAAGCATGGACACGAGCGGATCGGCCCAGACTGGATCGACTGGTGCGTCGAGCACCATGTAGTGGCTGACTTCCGACTCTTCCATGGCGCGACGGACGGTGGCGGCTACAAGGCCATCGGCCCAGTCGCCAGAGCGAGGGTCGGCCTCGCCGACAAGCTCGCGGGTAGTGTGGGCGTAGGGATTGATCCGCACCACCCGGTACAGTGAAGGATCACCGGTCGAGCCCTCGCGGGCATCGTCCTCGCCTGCCGGCGACTCGCTGGCGGCAGCGAGTCTCGCCAGCGACGGATGCAGGGCTGCGACAAGGACTTCAAGCGCGGTTGACTTACCGGTGCCTGGCGGGCCGAGAAGAACGGTCGACTCCCAGTTTCGCAACGAGACAAAGAGCTGCAGGAGCTTCTCGACCCAATCACTGGAGGCAACAAGCGAGGCCGACTGGGCGGTTGCGGTGACCACTTTCTCGAGCGAAGCCAAGAGCGCGGTCTCGGAGAGCTCGGGCACTGAGGTCTTGTGGGCGAGGTTGTGCGTCAATCGGAGCGCGGCTGCGGCTTGGGCGACGGTCATGGTGGCAAGGGTCGGCGGTTCGACATCGGGCTCGCCCGCAGCTGGTATATCAAGAGTGGGAACGCCCGCCGGCGACGAGCTCGAGCCTGCGTCTGCGCCGGTGGACGCGCCTGCGTTTGCGGTGATTGACGTGCGAGGAACAGTAAGCGACGACGCCGACGACTCACGAGGCGAGTCAAAGGCAAGTCGGGTAGAGCCCGGCGCACCGGGACCGCCTCCCCGTGCGTTGAGAGGAATCTTGGTGGCCTGGGGAGCCTTGGACACTGGCAGACGGCCGACGCCGTCGATAAAGGGGACGGTGCGCGCGGCGGCGGCGGCAGCAGCAGCGGCAGTAGCCTCGGTCTCGGCCTCGGCTGTGCGGTCACGGTCGTTGGTGCGGCGCGAGCGGACCTGGGCGCGGCGGCGGCGAGCATGGGCCGAGAGCATCGACTCGATGCCCGACGAGCCCATTTGACTCTGGCGCGGACCTGATCCCGCACCGGATCCGGCGCCACTGCCGTCGCCGACCATGCCAGCAGCGGTGAGCTCACCGGTAGCACCAGGAGGGGCCGCTGGCGCGTTGGGATCATCGACAATGTCGGTGGCGGCAAAGGTCTCGCGGAGGAGGACCAGAAACGGCGGCATATCTGAAGGTAGGAGGCGCGGCAGGGTGAGCTGGGCGAGGGCGGCCATGACCGTGTGCGACTCGTTGGCGGAGGGACCAGCCTGGCGCCGAAGAAGGCAGGTACGGTCGAGGACGGCGACGAGGAAGCGATACGACCAGTCGTAGTGGATGGCGCGCGAGAGGGTTGCCTGTGCGGCGCGAAGAGTCGAGGTGAGCTTGCGAGTGAGGCGCTCGGCGTAGTAAAAGCCGGCGGCAACGAGCCGGGCTCGGACAAGCATGTCCTTGTCTGGTGTGACAACGGTGACGGTCCTGAAGAGAACAGCTTGCGAGGCTGGGAGGCCCGCGAGCGGCGAACTTGAGGTTAGGAGCGCAGTGGCGAAGAGGCCGAGTGGCTCCTTGAGCATGTACGTCGGTGGTTGAAGCGAGTCGGGCATGTCCTCGACGAGGGCTTGCGCAACGGCGGTGATTTGCGGCGGCGAGAGTCCAGCTTTGTGGCGGGCATCACGGGAGCGTTCGGCCTCGTCAGGGGTAGATGAATGTTGTGCGACTTGGTCGTGGGCCGGGTCGGCCAGTGACGAGCGGAGGGCGCCTGTAGTGAGGCCGTGGCCGGGGCTGAGAAGATTACCGGAGCGACCGACGCCCTCATCCGGGACACGGAAGGTGATGCCGGACGGGGCCGCGGCGGAGACCGGGACACCGCGGTAGTCGAGGCGGGTGGCGCCACGGCGGTCCAAGGGAGTGGCGACACCCGATGCGCTCGGCTGTGGCGTCTCGGGTGGGGGTAGCTGGAGCACGATGCCAGGCAGCGAGGCTGACGACGAGCGACCGGCCGCAGAATCGCCTCCGACAAAGAGCGAGAGCGAGGGCGCAAGAGACGAGAGCGGAGTGTCGACGGTCCGCGAGGCGATGCGCTTGTCGACTGAGGGGCCCATGAGGAGCGAGCTGGTCTTGGAGGCGAGGGTCGAGCCGTGGGCGAGTGCAGCGCGGCGGGAGGAGATGGAGCGGCGGGCCGAGGCGCGAGCGCGAGCGGTGGTGGAAGCACTCCTGCGGTTGGGGTTCTCCATGCCGTCGGATGTGGTGGAGACAGCGAGGGCCTGATCTGCGGCGACATCCTGGTCTGCAGCAGCTTGCGGGACGCCTGCAGCCGCGGCGTCGGGGCCGACGGCGATGGGGCGAGGCTTGAAGCCCCGCGAGTAGAGCTGCGAGAGCGGAAGGGCTTCACCTGAGGCCAGGACGGCAAACGGCAAGTTGAGTCGGAGGGCATGGGAGAGGGCAAAGAGATGGTGGCCAAGGATGCCAAGGACAGGCGGCTTGAGGAGGTGGATGCCGTCGAGATGGACCCAGGCGCGGGAGAGGGCCATGCCCTTGACGATGCGGACCATGTCAGAAGCGATAAAGAGGGTGAGCAGGCGAGCGGGGCATGGTACTTTCCAGCGAGTGCGGCGAGGGTGCGCAGGGTCTCGGACTTGCCTGAGCTCGGCGGGCCGGCGAGGACGACGGCTTGGCCGGCGACAGTGGCGTCGAGCAGCATAGACGCGGTCCGCTTTGTGGCCGCAGTGACTACGAGGCGTGGGGCGGCGCCGATGTACTCGTACTGGTGGACGAGCGAGTGCGGGCCGAGCGCAACTTCGACGTGCGGGGTGGCATCGGTGGCGCGCCAATAGATTCGCAAGTGCTTTGTCCACTCAAAGTCTGTGAGCGAGTAGACCTTGCGGCGAAGGATGTCGTCGTAGGCGTCGCGGAGGTGCACCTGGACGGTGGCGAGGGCCTCCATCTTGATGCGGTCGAGACGATCGGTGGCGCGGGAGACGAGGTCTTGGACAACAGAGAGCACGTGCTTGATGTACTGCGCGGTGTTGAAGAGAGCCGACTTTTCAGTGCGGATGCGGCGAATGGAGTTCTCAGAGGCCTCGGTAAAAATGAGGTAGAGGGCGAGCTGGGCAACTTGCGAAGGGTACGTCCGCAGCAGGTCTTCGAGGTCGATCGAGAAGCACTCCTTGGCGGCACGGCGGATGAGCGAGCGGAGGGTGAGGCGCATCTGCTCTAGCAGGGCGGTGAGCCACTCGGTGAGGTTTGGTGAGGCAGTGACCGAGGCAAGGAGCGGCAGGATCTCGCCTTCTGCCGAACGGAGGGCGAGGATGGAGGCAGCGTCGTCGAGGGCAGCGAGAGCGGAGGAGACTGGCGTGGAAGCAGGGTGAGATGCATGGTCAGCGTTGCGAGCAGCGGCAGGGCCTGACGGGTTCGCGGAAGAGCCAGGAAGAGGGTCCGAGTCGAGAACGACACCAACGACCGAGTCAAAGAACTGGTCAAAGTGTGCGGCGACGGCGTTGGTGAGGAGGCAGCGGAAATGAGCTCAAGTAGCGCCGAGTCTGAGACAAAGTAGAAGCGCGGAAAGGCGGAGCGCTTGAGCTCGAGAAAGCCTTTGAGCGAGATCTGGCAGAGCTCAAGCTCGGCGCGCAGATGCGGGAGGTATGAGCGAAGCGAGTCGTTAAAGACGCAGCAGGCTAGAACGTTGGCCTCTGTCGAGGTACGGCGCATGATACGGACCCACTTTGTGTCGATGACAGAGAAGCGAGCGGCTTCTGCGGGCATCTGTTTCTGGATGGTGACCGAGGTAAAGACGGCGGAGAGGTGGATCCACATAGACTGAACAAAGAGCCATGACTCGAGGAGCTCCGAGGCCGACGAGAGCTGGGCGAGCCAGGTGGTGAGGGTATCGTAAAAGGGAGCGACAAAGGGCGAGGCAAGCATGGTGGAGATGTCCATGAGCGAGTTCTCCATGGTGTGCATGATGGCCTTTGCAGAAGCGACGTCGAGGACGGCGATGCCGTCACGGCCCTTGTAAGAGGGTACAAACTCGAGCGTCATCTCGTTCCACAAGTCCTCGAGCTTGTTGAGCGAGTGCTCGATGTCGAGCTCTTTCTTTGCAGCGTAGGCGATGCGGCGGACTTGCTGGGCGTTTGCGAGGAGGTCGACCTCGAGCAAGTGCGCGAGCATGAACGACTGCGACTCGAGCGAAAAGGTGGTGCCCGTGGCTTGCATGATGGAAATCCAGTGGCGATTCTTGATGGCAGCATCGGCGAGGGCGGAGAGAAGAGGGAGGAGGGCGATCCACGAGGCGAGGCGGGCATAGGTTGACTTGTACAGCGACCATTCGCGAACAGCGAGTGGGAGGGCGCGCATTTGGGTAGCGAGCTGGTGGAGACGGGCAGACATGGTTGAGATGTCGGTGTCCGCCCAGAGAGTGTACTCGAAGCGACGAAGCGAGGCAGAGACGGCCGAGTGCAAGGTGTGGAGAGCGTCAAGCATGTCCAGCTCGCGGCGGGTGCGGAGGAGGCCGGGAAAAGGCCGCGGCGGAAGGCCAAAGAGGCGCTCGCCGCGGCGAAAGTAGTTGAACTTTGTCTCGAGCTTAGCAAACATGGCCTGGAAGACACGAAGGCGCCCAAAGCCGTCCTTGGGGTCGACCGACGCGCCATCAGCGGCGAGGACGGCCATGGGGCCACGGGTGTTGTAGTTGTTGCGGAACTGGATGACCTCGATGGCAAACGACTCGACGTCTGAGAGGAGGGCGTGCTTAAAGTGGTTCTGCAGTTGGAGCAGATGGTCGTTCTCGGTGGCGGCGAGCGCCTTGAGCTTCTGCCATTTTGCGCGGAGGCGGCGGGTGTGGGAGAGCTCGGCCTTGTTGATGTGGACCTGGTGGCGGGCGAGGAGAGCAAACATTTCCTCGAGCGGAATAAACTCCATGTCGATGACGGCCTCTTGGGCGCGCATGTCGCGGAGGACAAACATGACCTTACGGAGGTCGTCGAGGGTGACAATGTCGCGCTGCAAGCGCGAGGTGGTCGAGTTGATGTACGAGGCGAGCTTGCGGAGCTTGGACGAGCCACGGGCGTGGAGCGTTTCGGCGTAGCGGGCTTTCCAGCTTGCAGCCTCTGAGCGAAGCGAGTACTTGAGGGCTTGGGTGTAGAGGAGGAGCGGTCCGAGGAGCGCGGACGAGTGCATAGCCTGGATGGAGGCCTCGACGTCGACAAAGCGCTGGATCTCGGCCTCAAAGTCGACGACGAGCGGTGAGGCCGAGAGAAAGGCGGCGTACTCTTGCTGGAGTGTGTTGCCCCAGAGGTAGGCGTACTTGACAAAGGCAGAGAGGTAGGTCGAGAGCGCCTGCGCGAGAGTGGCGGCTTTGCCGGAGAGCAGAAGCACGAGCCGGACAATGGTCGGATTCTGGGAGAGCGTCTCGTGGTAGTTGTTGTCTGCGACGTAGAGCGGCGAGGAGAGGACGGCTAGCTCGGCCGGGTGGTACTCGGAAGTGCCGCTGCTCGCCGAAAGAGCAGCAGCAGCGGTCGCCACCGCCGAAGTCGTCGCCGAGTGCGACGTTGTGGGTAGCGTGGGGTTCGACTGGGCGCCGGCGGCCGCGTCTCCGGATGCTGCCGTCTGCGCTGTGGTGGAGGCGTCGAGACCGAGCATGGCGAGGCGGGTGAGCGGCATGTCGACCGAGGCAAACAACTCTTCCGAGGTGAAGAACGAGCCGTCGGGGCGCGAGTTGGCGATGCGGAGGCGCGACGGGAGGGTGGAGAGAGCGGCGACCGACTTTGTGATGCGGATGAGCTCGGAGACAACCTGGTTGAGAGCGCGCTGGAGCTCGTCAAGCGAGGGGTTGATGTGGACGTGCGGGATGGAGAGCTCGACGTCGACAGCGAGAAAGGGCGCGCGGGATGCCACAAGCTCGTGTGGCGGGTCGATGAGCGCGGCCGGCTCGAGCGGGGTGAGCGCGGAGCGGAGGTCGAAGAGGGCACGCTTGACAGTGGCGCCGAGGGCGGCGGAGAGCATGTTTGAGAAGAACGAGACAAAGTCTGCAATGACGTCGGGCGAGACCTTGAGGGTGGAGAGCTCAGTGGGATGGGCGGAGACTTCCTCGACGATGATGGCGAGCGCAGTCTCGATGCGCGAGGCAGCGGCGCGAAAAGCGGCGGCGTGGGCGCGGATGGACCGGATCTGGGCATCGACAAACTCGCCGAGCGAGTACGGGCTGGGTGGCGAGAGGCGGAGGAGCGAGGACTGGGCAATAAAGTCGAGCGGACGGAGGACCGAGGCGACAAGGAGGGTGTTGGCGCGGGTGACAAGGACCTCGAACTTGTCAAAGGCGGCGTGGACGCGAAAGAGGAAGCCGTCGATGTTCATAGACGACCATGTCAAGGTGGTAATGCCCGGCATCATGCGGCCGAGCAAGTCGCTGAGCGGCTCGGCCAGCAGCGGCCGGAGCGTCGGGTTGATGGAGGCAGTGATGCGGGCAAACTCATCGACGAGGAAAGAGAGCTTTGCGTAGTAGTCCTTGACGCGGGCGCCGGTGTCCGCGACGGCAAGGGCGGCGGCCGGAAGTTCGAGGCCAAGGCGAGTGAGCCACTTGGCCTCATCGATGAGCTGGAGGAAGCGGGGGTGGATGTTGACGTAGAGGTGGCCCGAGGTCGGCGAGCGGACGATGAGCGGGGCGGAGAGGACGTCGCCGGCGTCAACAACCCGCTGCGACCACATGTAGAACCAGAGCGTCTCGAACTTGACGAGCTTTTTGGCGAGGCGGTTGTAGTTGCGGATGACCGGGACGGCGGCGGGCGCAGCCATGATAGACTCGATGCCCTGGAACTTCTTCATGGGCTCCTCGATGCGGCGGAGGAGCTGGCGGGCCCAGATGATGTTTCCGGCGACGGGTGGGGCGTTGCGGATGGTGGGCGGGGCATGCTTGAGCGACTCGAAGAGTGCGGCAGCCTCGCCAAGGTCTGCGCCGTAGTTGTGGAAGATTACAAGGTACTTGGAGTCGAGGTTGGTCTTGAGGGAGGCGCGGTGGACAAGCCCCTCGAGGGACTGGAGCATGGCGAGTGCGTCCTCGGTCTCGGAAGTCTTCTCAAACGCCGAGTCGATGCGGGCAAGAAGCTCGTTCTCGAGGGTGGCAACCGCGTCCTGAAAAGCGGCGTAGTCGGGCTCAAAGGCCTGCTCCGAATCGTCGAGCAGTTCGTACTTTGTGGAGGAGAACGAGTCAAGGAGCGACTCAAAGGCCGATGCGACAGGGGCCATGTTGGGGAGGGCCGGATGTTCGGCGAGGGCGCGAAACTGCGAGGCGGTGCGGACGACGTCCGAGACGCGATAGAGACGGGCCTCCAGCGAGACAAGGGCGGCAAAGACGGCGGTCTCCGAGTAGGCAAAGGCGCGGTCGCGGCGAGTCTTGAGCTCCTGGTTGGCCTTTGAGCGGACGTGACGAAAGGCGCGCTTGTAGGCGGAAATGAGAGCCATGGCGTCGTCGATCTTGGCAGCCACGAGCTTGGGGTCCTGAGCGAGGATGGCGCCGCCCTTGGAGACGTGGCGCTTGCAGGCGAGGGCGAGCTGGCGCGAGATGCGGGTGAGGAGGTCCATCATGGGACCTGGCTCGGCGCAAAACTTGGCCGACTGGTGGATGATCTTGATGGCGTTGAAAAGGCCCGGAAGCGCCTCGGTCATGGCGGAGACGGTACCAAAGTAGAGTGGCTCGACATACTTGCGGACGAGCTCGAGGTACTTGTGCGAGTCCTTGGCCTCGTTGATGGCGTCAGTGACGAGCGGGTCAAGGAGACGCCACTGGCGGAGGGCCTTGGAGTGGGCGGTGACAAGGACGCCGAGAATGACCTTGCGCTCGTAGGTCTTGAGCTGCTCGATGAGCGAGCGGAGCTGGGCCTCGCGGGCGCGCCAGAACTCGAGGAGGGCGAGTGGACCGACGTCGGCGAGTGCAGCGAGGGCGGCAGCTGACGGGGCGGACGACTCGGCCGGGCCAACCTTACCGGCAGCTGTTGCCGCCAGAGCGGCCGCGCCTGGGTCGACAAGAGCGCGGTCGTTGATGAGTCGCTCGATCTGAGTGCACCACTCGTCCATGATGGCCTCGTAGTGGGCGACGAGCGACGGGTTCGTGGCGGCCTTGTTGAACGCCTGCTGCTTGTTCTCGACCACAAACTCGGAGTCGGCCTTGCGGAGCTTGATGCCACCCTGGACGGCCTTGAGTGCCTCGTTGAGGACCGAGGTCATCGACGAGACATGATTGAAGAACTGGGTGACGGCGTCGGGCGGAGCCTGGCCCCAGTCCTCGCGATGCTGGAGGTGCGGGACAAAGACATCGAGGAGGAGCTTGTGCGACGACTCGAGGACCGAAGACATGAGCTCGCCAAAGGCGACTTCATCGGAAATGCGCGGCTCCGAGACCGGGAGCGACGGCGCGAGGCGCACAAAGTACGCGCCCTTGCGGAAGAAGATGTCCGTCCGCGGGTCAGCGAGGTAGAACGGGACGGCCCAGGCGACCTTAGAAGAGTGCGGCTGGATGCCCGGCGCGCCGGACGGCGAGCTATCCGAGTTGCCCGACAACGAGACCGATGATGAGGCGCGGGCAAGCGCATCACTCCGCTCGGCGAGGTTGGCGCCCGACGCGGAGGCCGGCGACGGCTTTGCGACAGACGGTGGGCGCTTGCCAGGCACCGCCTCACCCGCAGCACGCTGAAAGAAGACCAAAGCACGCGGACCACCAGAGAGAAAGGCGTTGATCCGGGGAAGGATGCCCGGGTCGGCAAGGTATGCCCGGATGGCTTCTGTGTCGGGCATGGCAAAGGCGGCCGAGAGCTTGGCGGTCAGCCACTGGTGGCGGGCATCTAGAGCGTCACCGACAGGAGATGATGGTGTGCGTGGGGTGGAGACAGACATGGTGGAGGGGGTGGGAGGGGGTGGGGTGGGGTGGGGGGTGGGGTGGGGTGGGGGTGTTTTTCACCGCCTCGTCCCTCAGCCCCCCAAAAAGAAGCCTTACATCGACGACACCCGCTCGGAGGTTTTCGTTCGTTTTTTTTTTTCCCCCCCC